CCGAGCTAGACTGCCCGCTACTCGTCCTAGGTGACATGAACATCCACCTGGACAAATCCTGCTCTGAGGACTTCCTGTCTCATAAAAGCATTAAACATAGAACTGGTCTGCAGCCCTCCGACCCATAAAGGTGGCAAACAACTTGACTTGAATCTCACCAGAGACTGCAAAGCTGACTGTCTGCTGGTCACGCCTTTACACACGTCTGACCACTTCTTCATCCGCTTCTCTGTCTGCCTCCCGGAACAGCCCCCTGCTCCTACACCAATGATCTCATTCCGCCGCAATCTCTGAAACCTGCCTCCCGAGCAGTTCGCCTCCGCTGTTGCCTCCGTGTTGCCTCCTCTTAGCACATTGGAATCACTAGAGGTTGATGCTGCTACAGAGTCCCTCAGCTCTACACTGAGCTTGTGCTTGGATAGCCTGTGTCCTCTATCCACCAAACCTGTACGCTCTGCCCAGCCCCGCCCATGGCTGACTGATACCATCTGCAAGTTGCGCTCCACCCTCAGAGCTGCAGAAAGAAAATGGCACAAAACCAGTAATCCTGAAAACCTCAAGGATCTCCAGGCTCTTCTTGTCTCCTTCTCTACTACCATCACTACTGCAAAAACTGCTTACTACAATGACAAAATCAGCAGCACCACTGACTCACGGAAATTATTTTTCGCCTTCAAAACACTGCTCAATCCGCCTCCGCCTCCGCCTGCTACAAACCTCTCAGCTGACAACTTTGCTTCATTCTTCACTGAAAAAGTAGCTACGATCAGCAAAACATTCTGTGACCCGCCCAGCTATCGAAGCCCATCGAAGCCCAGCCCAGCCATCGAAGCCCATCGAAACCCAGCCCAGCCCAGCCCAGCTCCTCCCCCGGTCAATGGCGTATCTCTCGCCTCATTTACTCCTCTCACTGAGAGCGAGGTATCAAAACTACTCATTGGTAGCCGTCCTACTACCTGTCCACTGGACCCAATTCCTACAAAACTCCTACAAGCCATAGCCCCCACTGTGGTGCCATCAATCACATGTGTGATAAACGCTTCACTTGCCTCTGGGATCTTTCCATCCGCCTTCAAACAGGCAAGGGTTATGCCGCTTCTTAAAAAACCCTCACTCAACCCCGCCCAGGTTGAGAATTACAGACCGGTGTCTCTCCTCCCCTTTCTATCTAAGACTATAGAAAGGGCGGTCTCAAAACAAGTCACCGACTTCCTCACTCAGAACAAGCTGCTCGACAGGAACCAGTCTGGATTCAAAAGCGGCCACTCCACGGAAACAGCTCTGCTGTCTGTAACAGAAGCTCTAAGAACAGCTAGAGCTGCGGGCCAGTCCTCCGTACTGATCCTTCTAGACCTATCAGCTGCCTTCGATACGGTCAACCACAGCATTCTACTATCTATACTCTCAAACATGGGCATCTCGGGCACATCACTATCTTGGTTCCGATCCTACCTCTCTGAGCGCTCCTTCATGGTGTCATGGCAGGGACATACATCCTCGTCCCAAAGCCTCGGTACAGGGGTCCCCCAAGGTTCGGTACTGGGGCCTCTTCTCTTCGCCATGTACACTACTTCACTGGGCCAGATCATCCGCTCTCATGGCTTCTCGTACCACTGCTATGCAGATGACACGCAGCTGTATCTGTCATTTCAGCCAGACGACCCTACCGTCTCAGCACGAATCTCGGCATGCCTCTCCAACCTATCTGTCTGGATGAAGGATCACCACCTTCAACTTAACCTGTCCAAGACTGAACTCCTGGTTATCCCAGCCCAGCACTCAATCAAACACAACATCAACCTAAACTTTGCCTCTACGACGGTTGCTCCCACCAGGATGGTGAAAAACCTGGGTGTCATGATTGATGAACAGCTATCCTTCAAGGACCACATCGCCTCGATTGCCAGGTCGTGCCGCTTTGCACTCTACAACATATGGAAAATCAGACCGTACCTGAACCAATATGCTACCCAACTCCTGGTACAGGCCATGGTCACATCCCGCCTCGACTACTGCAATGCCCTCCTAGCTGGCCTACCAGCTTGCTCGATAAAACCACTGCAAAAAGTCCAGAACGCGGCGGCGCGTTTGGTCTTTAAGCAACCCAAAAGAGCACATGTCACGCCTCTGCTCACTGACCTACACTGGCTACCGGTGGCTGCCCGAATCAAACACAAGTCACTGTCTCTTGCCTACAGAGTGATTTCAGGGTCTGCACCTACATACCTAAACTCAATTATAATGGCTTACACCCCTGCCCGGGCGTTGCGCTCATCACAACAGCACCGACTGGCCTCGCCCTCCTTAAACACAAGGCGATCTCAGTCGAGATCATTCGCATCTGCAGTTCCCCAATGGTGGAACAAGCTACCAGTTGCTACAAGAGCAGGGCTCTGTCTTCAAGAAGCTCTTAAAAACCCTTCTCTTCCGAGAGCACCTGAAACCATGTTGAATAATAAAGCCATGATGTTCACTCTGTTCACTGTTATTGAAGCTATGTTGATCACTCTTATGCTATTGAAGTTGAATCGCCCTTGTCTTTAATGTTCTATAGTAACCATGTCAAATCTTATGTTACTGAAACTTGATTGTCTTCCTCAATTGTAAGTCGCTTTGGATAAAAGCGTCTGCTAAATGTAATGTAATGTAATGATTTTCATATTTGATGAAAATGCATTAGAGATTTCGTAAATGTATTTCCGTCATGGCTTCACTGTATTGTGACTAAAACTGAGAACTCCTTGTCTTTATTTAGGACAGGGCAGTTTTTTAACTTACTGAAAAACTATGGACCTCATTCCATCGACCAATCAACTAAAGTGCCTGTTTGAATCTGAAGGGACAACCTAAATCTACCAAGGCCTGAAATCAATAAACTGTACCACTGATATATGAAATATCAATGAATGAATGAAACTAATGATATTGGGCTCCTCAAAACATGAGACTCGAAATAGCATGTAGCATTTGATTATATATATAATACAAGGTCTATAATACACTCCTCTGTTCTTTGAAATCAATGCGATTTATTATTTATTTGGGTAGACTGACCAGAACAACTAATGTAAAATTACATTTACATTACAGGCCTTAATCCTCAATTATGATTATTTTTGCCCAGATCTGATCTTTGACCTCTGTTAACATTGCAGTGCCATGTCCAGAGATATGTCAGATCTAGAACCACATCGTAAAGTGGGCCAAATCTGTTTAGAAAAAAAGATTTGATTTTCATACTATTAAGGAACACATTTGGGCTCTCAGAATGGCCTAAGAAGGATGGAACTTCAAACCGTCACAACCAAATGAAAATGACAACATGAAATGTTCGTAAACTTCTTATATACTTCTTAAATATAATAAACTGTTTGTATGTGTTTTCCCTCATTAGGATCCCCTGTGTTTATAGGTGTTTATTTATATATTTAATTATGCCTTTAGTCAATTTCTCATGAGCTGTTTATGCTAGAGTCGTGAAAGTTGGCAGCCATATAGATCGCTACTCAGAAATTACATATAATATTGACATGGCAACGCAGCAAAGCATATCTCCCATTAACTGTCCATGTCTCAGATTTTCCACCATCTTGGATATTCTGACAAACCTTGACACCTTGAAAGTAGAACTCCTCCTAGACAAGTTGACCAACAACACTAATGTTGGGGTGAAGAAGATCACCAGTCTAAACAAAAACAAAACATGTTTTCAGATCAATTCAATAAACAATATGGCCACTATTGACCAATGGCTTTAAGTGGGTATAACCTTTCTCCCAGGAACACTTTGTATGAGCCATATTAAAATCAACCTTAAGGTTATATATTCATATCTAGATGATCAGTCATCACCAAATCTGACACACATGCTCCATCACTAACCCATCTCTACAGAGTTGATCCTAAATGATGGGCAATTACACTTTGATCGATCTAGTCCCTTGGTTGATGCTACATAGAATTGTCTCCTGATTAGTGAAATACATCGAGTGAGGGTAAGGAGGAAGTTGTGTTGTGATATAAAGGGGTTTGAGTTACACGTACACACAAGTAAGATCAAGTTAAGAGAAAAATACACAAATATTCTTGCATGAGGCCTATTGTGTTTTATATAAGTAAGCGTGACATGTAGCGTGGCATGAGCAAGGTGATTGTGTTGCTGCTGGGATACAGCTTGATGACAGGCAACCCAAACCTTGGACCCTGTCTTCCAACACCAGGAACAGTTGAGCTAAATGGCACAAACATTTTGTTCTGAATAATATTTTTTGCTTTATGGGCCTATTTTTTTGGTTCAGTTGGCTTAATGTATTGTATCTTACCAAATAACCAAATCTTCATTATGTCCTGATCCCTAATGTTGCTTGTAACTTTAATTCTTTATGAAAGTTGTTTGGCAGAATCATGCATTTAAACGCACCTGGTACATCCAAACTTAGTTTCGTAATCAGCAGAGCGAGGAAGGGAATGGATGTTGTTTGTGTGCAGGAAACCTCTCCAACATGAGGCCAGATAGCAGAAGAGCTCCCAAGATGATGGAGAGGAGGAGATGAGTTGGGGGGGGGGGGGGGGGGGGGGTAGCTGCCAGCCAGCTAAATTACTCTGTCCCACAGTCAGCCACCACTGCCAGCTTGGACAGGGATGGCTTCTCTGTGTGTTGTCCATGAAGGGGGGGGGGGGGGGGGGGGTTGGATGAAAATGAAGCCCAAAAATAACTGGACATGTGCACTGCCAGTTGTCACTGTGTGTGTCCTGATGTCCACAGACAAATGTTTTCAGAATTAGATTGTGTTTGTCTGTCCATTAAGGCACAAATTTGAGTTTAGAAAACTTCATTTTTTCAGACTTTATTTTGTCATTCCCATGTTCTGGGAATGACATTTGTTCCCTGGATTTGACCCATCCTGTTGTACATAGGAGCAGTGGGCTGCTATGATCAGCGCCCGGGGAGCAAGTTGGGGTTCAGGGTCTTGCTCAAGGACACCTCGACATGCAGACAGTTTGGAAGCGGGGATCGAACCACCGACCCTACGGTTAGTGCTCTGTAGACCGCTCTGTCCACCTGCTCTACCTACTGAGCTACTGCCGACCCCTGAAAATTAGATTGAGGGTGTGTGTGCAGGTGGAAGGTTTACACCTGCAGAGCTCTGTCTTGTCTACTAGTCTGCCTATAAGGTGATGGGTATAAAACCCTTCATTAGGACCAGGAGCTATTAATACCTGTTCCTAAAGAGCGGTTGTCTTAAAGTGTTCTTATAGGGCTGTTGTAAGTGTTCTTATAGGGTGTGGAGTGTGTTGTTAATGGCTGGTTTACAGCCTCACCTGGCCTGAGTCAGACTGATTGGACTTTGGGCTGGGTGGGGCTGCACACCTGTGGTGCAGAGCAATCATGGAACCCAGGATAAACCAGCTATCAACACACACACATTCAGAAGAGAGCCACTGTCATGGCAGCATGTTACATCTGCTCGGCAAATACCATCTTGCCATCTGTTCAAAGTGTTCTTATAGGATGTTTTAACTGTTCTTATAGGGTGTTCTAAGTGTTCTCATGAGGCTGTTCTAAGTGTTCTTATATGGTGTTCTTATAGTGCTGTTCTAATTGTTCTTTTAGGGCTGTTTTAGGTGTTCTTATAGGCTGTTGTAAGTGTTCTCATAGGGTGTTGTAAGTGTTCTTATAGGGTATTCCAATTGTTTTTATATGGTGTTCTTATAGGGCTGTTCTAAGTGATCTTAGAGGGTGGTTCTAAGTGTTATTATAGGGCTGTTTTGAGTTACTTTAGAGCAGGGCTTGAAAACGAAATTATTTTTCAATCGTTCCGCTCCGAACGGAACCGGTATATTTAACGTTTTCGTTCTTGCGTTCCGCCACCAACATATCGTTCCTGAACCGGTTCGGAACGTAAAATAACGTTCGTTCTTAACGTTCCGGCAGTGTTATTGGGCCTCCGCGGTGTGTTACTATTGCGGCCCCCCCCCCCGCCGGTGTTATGCCGAGTTCTGCCTGCCCGCCGAGAACTGCATGCACCTCGCTCTAGCCTGGAAAAACAGGGGGATGCACTTCTCGGCAGCTTATATACAGCACTGCCGAATAATGCATCCACCCTGTAACTTTAATGCTGGAGATCTTTGAATCACATGGTTTGACCAGCTCATATTTTGGGCTGTTTTGGCTTAACAGTGTGAATATCATACATGTGAGTTCTGCCGAATAAAGCATGTACCCCTTAACAGTGAGACTTCAAATCAAAGAATGATAGGAATCAAATGGTCTTCTCAGCACCAGCTTACTTTATTTGATCGACCTAGACAGTGTGGATGACACCCCACATTCATTTTCCACATTAAAAAATATTAAAATATTGTTTTCGAGGTGCATGCAGTTCCGCGAGGTGCATGCAGTTCTCGGCGGGCAGGCAGAACTCGGCATATCACCGGCCGTAGGTCCGTGGTGTGTTACTATTGCGCCCCCCCCCGTCGGCCGTTACTATTGCGCCCCCCCCCCGCGGTGTGTTACTATTGCGCGCCCCCCCCCCCCGTCGGCCCGCGGTGTGTTTGTGTTACTATTGCGGGCACCCCCGCCGGCCGGCGAATTTTTTTTTTGCAGGGTGGTAGCGGGAAGCACCGCCCCACCCTGCTCCTGATTGGTTGAGCTGTGCTCTCGACTCTATCCTGATTGGTTCTACTGCGCCCAGCAAGCTAGAAGATTGTTTAATCTCAACGACCGCTCAGTTTACAAGTGTTGAAGATATAGTTATGGTTATGGTTAGGGTTAGGGTTAGGGTTATGGTTATGGTTAGGGTTAGGGTTAGCAGGCGCAGTAAACAATCTTAGAGTCGAGAGCACAGCTCAACCAATCAGGAGCAGGGTGGGGCGGTGCTTCCCGCTACCACCCTGCAAAAAAAAAATTCGCCGCCGGCCGTAGGTCCGCGGTGACGCTCGAACGTGAACGTCGTTTTACGGCAGCGAAAGATTTACGACAGCCAGCATACAGACAGTAAACAGACCGTGAGCAACGGACTTCACATGATATTATTCACAACTCGGATTAATTTAATGAAACCCATTGATTCTTTTGACCGGTGGACCCTTACGGACTTAAGGAATATAAACAATGCAGGAACGGACTCACACCGTACGGACTTTATGATCGCTTCAAAAGTTGGAAGTCAGACCTTTTCCCCGTCTCTCTTGTTTACCGGTGTTGTACGGTAGAATGTTATCGTGTTAACTTGTGAGGAACGCCTACCTGGAACCCCCCCCCCCCCCCCCCCCCCCCCCCCCCCGGTAGCACCCACTTTGCAGATTCGCAGATTCGTTAGTTAAGTTCAGTTGGTTCAATTTGATGGTTGTACATTTCATTCTATTTGTAAATAAAGTTCTACTAACACATGTTACCCGTGTCTGAAAACATCATTATGTGTAACAAGTCGAAAACTATTGCCAACACTCAAACACATAAAAGCAACCGAATTAGAATAGTGTTCCAAACGGGACTTGAACTCACAGTCATAAGTAGTCTAAAATGTGAAGGCTATCAGCGGAATATGCCCTATCTTGTTGAGCTATACGATCGCTGCTTCAACTCTCAGGCAACTAGACTTCATATAAATAATAATAATAGGAATGTATATTATTGATAACAAGTTAACACAACGGATCATGGTAGATGGTTATCGTGTCAAATCGTGACATAGGCGGACCACGTCAATGTTTTGCAAAAGGTCAGATCATTAGGCCTACTAAAACTACAAGAGAGATCAAACGGCCAAATAAATAATGAAGCTAACACACACACACAGGGCTATATTATATATATATAGAGAGAGATAAAAAATAAATATTAGCCTATATAGGCCTACAAAGAACACAAAACGAACCATAAATTGGGTTAAACGTCTCCGCTCATGGGTAACGAACTCGCGTGACTTGGACGCAGAAATGTTCTAACGTCCTGGCCGTAATGTATTACACCACACGATGTCACCCTGTCAATCGGACAACATCGTTATATTAAACCCTACATCACTCAAGTCTTTAGTCAACAGGAACTACACAGTTTATCCATGTTAACTTGTGATGATGAGCCACTGAGTAACCGAGGCCATTTAGCGTCGTTGTGGCGACGTTCTTTGTAGGCCTATAGCCTATAGGCTAATATTTATTTTTCTCTCTATATATATATATAATATAGCCCTGTGTGTGTGTGTTAGCTTCATTATTTATTTGGCCGTTTGATCTCTCTTGTAGTTTTAGTAGGCCTAATGATCTGCAGCTGGTTGCACCAGCTGAACGTAAGTTCCATCTTAGCTTAGTTTGAACGTAAACTGGCACTACGTTCGAGTTTACAAACTACTAATTGTTGCACTGTTGCACCACACCATTTACGTTCAACGTAGGCTTAAGTTACACCTTAAGTTACACCTTAAATTACACCTAGTACTAGGTAGGTGTAACCTCCGCCGTAAATACAAAAAAAATCCGTTAAGGATGTGTGCGGCTCATCCGGCGGAGCGGTTCATGTTAATAGCGGAGTCCGGGAGGGTTCACCTTCACGGCGTAGTTACGAGGGATGTGCGACTATCGTCTTAAAAAATACAACTGTGTTTTTTAAAGTTAGAAAGATATTAGATATTCAACCGATATTCACGCTCCGAATTACAGCGATCAGACACGGGGAACTAAAGCCGCGATCACCGGTATGAGTCCCGTATGTCTAGCGGTGTCTAGCGGTGTCTACCTGCCCCCCCGTCGGTCCGGGGTGGACTGTCAAGTCAGAAACGTTTGCAAATGCGAACCGATTCCTTACTTTTAAATTGAAACAATAACCGATTAATGTCATGTCAATTTCGATACGAGGCTTCACGCATCGATGTGGTCGTATTTTACAGGTTAAAAATGAATATCGATACGTATCGGTTAATCTTTACACCCCTAACACACACACGCACACACACGCATACCTCCGCCCCCGCCCCCCCCACGCACACACATCTACGCACAATGAGAGTGTGTAATTACACATCAAACGGCCCCGCCGCTCGCCTCGCGTTCCGGATCAATCCCTATTGGTCTTCCCGGACTAAACCCCAAGAAGATGTGAATGAGCCAATTAGAGTTATATGTAATTTAATGTTATTTTATTCCTCCAGATTGGATGCTGGAAGTTTTCATTCAGCACAAGTGTAGCTACTGTCACACTTCCTGTTTTCATTGTAAGCTACTAATGATTGGCTTGATGTGATCTAAACGTCATTAAATGCGACACTTATGGCTTGATCATGTGATCTAAACGTCATTAAATGCGACACTTATTTCACCCTAGGTAATTTACGCACTACTAGTTAAGTTCCGTCTTAAGTTATGGTGGTGCAACCTGAATTTAGAACGGCGCTAGTTTGAAACTAACTACGTCGAACGTAAGGTTAAGATAAACTTTACACCTAAACTTACGATCGACCTTACGTTCTGCTGGTGCAACCGACTGCTGACCTTTTGCAAAACATTGACGTGGTCCGCCTATGTCACGATTTGACACGATAACCATCTACCATGATCCGTTGTGTTAACTTGTTATCAATAATATACATTCCTATTATTATTATTTATATGAAGTCTAGTTGCCTGAGAGTTGAAGCAGCGATCGTGTAGCTCAACAAGATGGGGCATATTCCGCTGATAGCCTTCACATTTGAGACTACTTATGACTGTGAGTTCAAGTCCCGTTTGGAACACTATTCTAATTCGGTTGCTTTTATGTGTTTGAGTGTTGGCAATAGTTTTCGACTTGTTACACATAATGATGTTTTCAGACACGGGTAACATGTGTTAGTAGAACTTTATTTACAAATAGAATGAAATGCACAACCATCAAATTGAACCAACTGAACTTAACTATCGAATCTGCGAATCTGCAAAGTGGGTGCTACCGGGGTGGTTCCAGGTAGGCGTTCCTCACAAGTTAACACGATAACATTCTACCGTACAACACCGGTAAGTCTGGATGAATTATGCGTTGGTGTTCATAGTTTCAAGTTTGTGTTAAATGAACTGGGGCCGTATTCACAAAGCATTTTATCTTACCGCTAG